CTAATAATTTGACCAATTAATTACTTACTGTATGTGTCTTCCTTTATATTCTTTGTCCATATTTTATCATTTTTCAGTATTTGGCAATTTTGCAGTGGGATGAGATTAGGGCTGGGCATGGTATGTTACGGTTACCATATCGCTCTCAAATGATGGTAACAATTCTAAATGATAATGAAAAAAATTTATCACTTCTAGATCAATTGATGAATTTTTGGTGATAGTTGCTAACCGTTTTTAACGGTAATGAAACTTGTCTTACCAATACCATCCCATATTACCATCTTTAAGCTTATTTTCTTCATTATCAATTAATTTAAGTCATTCAAAATTCAATCTTAAAAGCTCAAAACTATCTTAAAAACTTATTTTCTCCATACCGTTCTTCATCATCTTGAAGCATACAAATATATAATTATACAAGGCGTGTACACATAAAAAAAAAAAGAAGAAGAGAGAACTAACAACAATTAAAAACTGTGTAGAATAAAAAAAAAAGAGGAAAAAGTTTTGAATGAGTGGTAAATTTGGTAATTATATGGTAAAAATGATAATGACCTCTAATATCAATACCGTACCACAAGTCTAAATGATATTGTCATATTACCATTTAAATTTATCATATGATAATTTCTCATACCGTTTTCGTTGATAATGAAACGATACAATAATAATTGTGACGTTTATGGTAGAGTGCCCAGCCCTACATGCATGTTCCGTGCATATAGAAATGTTTATCATGATAATATATTTAATATTCAAAAGTCAAAAGGAAAAAAGAAGAAAAAGAACCAAGGAAAATGTACATACTTGTGTTGAACATGTTCCTTTTTGAATTAGAGGAAGAAAAGGAGAAGTCGTGATGTGAAAGAAGCAGGTTGCAGACGAACAAGATATGGTTATATTTAGTTATTTACGCTTTTCTTGTTCAAATGGAGTTCTCGGGAAACGTTGAAAAGAGCATAAAATAAAATATATTGATAAAAAACGCTGGTTTCATATTGATGAAGTTGAAACAATTAAGGTTAGAGTTGTACTTATTTTTATTTGTGGAGTATTGTGATTATTTTAGAAATTCACATTTAATGATGGTACCTGATAAGGATTATGAATATAATTTGAAATTCTTAAATTCTATTTGGATGGTTTCCAATAAGTTATCCACATTCATATTGAACTCCACCATGCGGTTCATTGGTCGTGCTCCTCAATGAAAAGGGGTGGTGCTCACTTTGATCTGAAGATCGAATTTCTAATTTTTAACAAGTAATTAACTTAATCTACTAACCATTACCCTTGTCAAAAAAAAAAAAATCCATGTTACGTCAACTTCTTGATATAAATACTTCTTTAATCTTATAGGATTAGATATTTTTAATTTGTTTTAATTTAAAGATTTAGAAATTATTTATATATTTACTTATATTATTTTTAAAAAATTAAAAAATAAAGTAAAATTTTTATGATAGAAAAATTAATCAAAATAAATAAAATAATGATAAAATTAAAGTAAAGAAAAAAAATCATGATATTAAAAAAAAGAAAAAAATGACAATTAATTTAGCTAAAACTCAAAGTAAAAAATAATAATTATTTTGAGACAAAGAGAGTATCAAAAGTTAAAAGAAAATGATTAAAAGATAATTTTTATATATAATTTTATATATTATTTTATAATTAATTATTTTTATTTTATTAAAAATTATAATATTTTATATATTTATTCATTTAATAACAAACGAAAAATTATATAAAAAAAAGTGTAGGAAAAATATAAAACCATCATTACCCTTGGTTGAATTAGTATATCATTAAGAAATCGTACCAACTTGTCATATTATGTTTTCCTATGTCAATGTTGCGTTGTTTTATGGTACTAGATTTTTTTTTATTATCTTAAAAATATATAAAATGTTAATTCTAATTAAAAGAGATTATTAATGAACTATTTAAATTATTGACATATGTTAAATATTGTTTACTTATGAATTAGAGCATAAAATAGAATATATTGATAGAAATAAATGAAATTTATATTTAAAAGGTTAAAGTCAATTATTTAAATAATTTAATAGTAATATATTTTTAGTAAAAATAAGAAATTTTAAGTTTGAATTGTATGATATATAGATAAGATGAGTTAATAGATAAAGAAGAATTGTCTCTTATTATACAACTTAAGATAAGAAAATAAAATAATTTGGTTAGAGTTGTACTAATTTATTTTTGTGAAATATTGAGATTATTTTAGAAATTGACATTTTAATTGATAGTAACTAATGAGGATTGAGAATATAATTTGAAATTTTTAACTTCTATTTGGATGATTTCAATAAGTTATCCAGATCAATGTTATATGTCAACTTCCCATTGAATTAATCTCTTGGAAATCTTGCCCACTTGCCACATTTCGATTTCATATACCA